AATTTAAGGACCTAGGGTCCTTAGGTCTTTAAAAAGTCCTAATATACAAATTTATAATAGTTTAAAATGAAATTATAATTTATTAAAATAGTAAAATTCATTTCAACCGCAAAATTTCTGCTATTGGATAATTCTGGACAGCCTAATCAATATATATATATTCTTACTCTTAGTCGATTTTCTTTTGCTGATAGAATTGAGTATGAAAATTATGTGATCAATCTTTTACTTTAATAATGATAACGAAATGATTGAATAACCAAGAGTCAAGATAAATGAAATTGAACCTTTTGATCAATGCTATTCATAAAGAAAAAAGCAGAAAATAGTAATTCTTTGATAATTAAATTAATTTTATCGATTTTTATTTCTTCCTAAGTTGAAAGATATATGAATTTATTTCAATTCATCATAAATGAGAAAAACGAAAAGTTTAATTTTGGCAGCAGATACGTAGTCAAACCGAGCCGCTAAAACAGGTAAGATAATAGTGTCTTACAAAGCTGGGAATGCATCCTACCAGATGCACAAATTCCGATGTACCTTTCATTATTATACTGTGTATTTTTTTTCAAAATATTTTAAAGAGTAAAACCTATAACTGAAAAGTTGCTTAGGTAATTACAGTAATTCTGTATTGATGTCACATATTTTATATTAGCCAATTATGTTATAGTTGAATAGTTGCATGGACTGGGACCGATGCGATAGTTTTGTTGTGTCGGACCCATGCTGTTCCGTTTTAAGTCAATCAAAATTTTTGTAAACCACCGTTGAGGTTGAAGTTAAAACAGTAGATCAGTATTATTGTTAAGCAAGGGTACACCATTGAAGCTAAAATCATAGACTTTATATATCCCAATGGTAATATATATATGTTTATTTTGTATTATATTTTATTTGACCCTTTCCGGCGTACATCTTTTTATTAAAACTTCTTTAATTTTGTAATGTTTTATACATTCAAATGGGTTGTTCAAATCAATAGTACCATAATTATTTTCATCATTAACGTGATGTTGGTTATTATCTGAGGAAGTTGAAAGTTGAACTTGTTCATGAGATTGCGAATTTGGTATGGATTCTGGAAGTGATGGTGGAATAATTACATAACATAATACTAATGACTACATAAATTTTGGTTTAAGTATACATATAAATTTAAGTATTAATAATATAAACATAAAAAAAGACAGAAATAACAAAAATACAAATACCTTTTTAACTTGTACACAAACTCTACTCAAATTTGACATTAATTGCCAAGATGTCGTAACGTTATGACGGAAGTGATTATTATTCTTATTGTTAGTAACAGAAAGATAGTATGGAAGTACTATCACGCAGTATCTAGTAACCCCCAAAAAGACTTTGTTATTAAATTGTTTTATAATCAAGAATCATTAAGTATGGGATAATTTAATAGATACAAACTCTGCGTGTTTATATTCAGGTCCTTTCTCGTATAACACTATTTGTATATCAAATTTGTTAAATAAAAATACATGCATATATATTACATAGTGCCAATGGGTTTTTCAATAATATACATACCATAATCACATCCAAATTTCATGCCACTCCTAACAACCCAACCCAAACTACGGAAATAATGATATACAACATATCGAAGAATGAATGGATTATCTAATTGTGTTATTAGCGAATCCTGAGGAGCATTAAGAGCGATATTGGATACGGAAGATATACGAAACGCGTTCCAACAATCATGAGTAGTCATCAAATTCTGTTTTTTAATAAATTAGAAATGTTATAAGTAAGATTGTATAATCTAAAATTTAATTGAAACACATACATCATTAGCATCATAGATTTCCAAGCATCCAAGTCCGAAACTTAAGAAAAATGCTTCTTCTGTTGTAAGTTGTAAATGTTCTTGAATAGATATAGCTTGATTTTGCATAACATTACCATCATCATCCTTATTATCATTATAATTTTCATCAACATCAATTTTTTTAATTTGTTCTATTGAAGCTGATGTCGAAGCTATATCTGGCTGACCTAGTGTGTCGATCAGAGGAGTCGGTTCAGTATTACCTTTATCACTAACATCAATAACGTCCTTGCTATCTTCATTGTTGGTAATAGAAGCAGATGCGTTCTTTTTGTTCTTTTTCCTTCTCGCTCTTGCTATTCTACGGTTCTGCGTTATTTGTTCAGCTGATAAAGGCTGATCCCCTGTAACCATTATGAATGAGTAAACTAATTCACATTTATTATATGAAATTAAGGAATTCAATACTTTGTTTATTCATACCTTTCTTTCCATCTCTCCATTCAAAAGTAGGCTCACTTCTGGATAAATTTCCTTTCCCAAAAAAACCTTGCTTCCATAGCTTTTGTATAGCTTGCTTTTCCGAGACTATTACTGAAGTAGAATTAGCATCAAAATTGCCTCGCGTTTTTACGCGTGATTCTTGTATACTACTAGTGAAATAGTAGGATAAAAACGGAAAGCGATTGACTAAAAAAGTTGTAAATGTATTTGTGAAGCTAGTATTGGATACAGAAATCGGAAGTGGTATGATACCAGAAGATTTTCTGGTGCTCAACTTTTTATTTTCCTTTTTTTTCGTGAAAGATTGTGAAGACATCTTTCATAACAAGTTCATTTTCTGATTGGTTATTGGGTTGATCACACCTTGGAAGGTAGCTACAAAACTTGGTCAATTATGATTTTAACTAATTGCAAATTTTTTAATGGAGTTTTTATTTTGGAAAATTGTGTAGTATTAACGTTAAACATCGTTTTAAATTTCCAATCGTACATAATATACCTTGAATTATCAGTGTCTGGGACTTTTATGATTAAAAAATGTATTTTCAATATTCAATGATATCTTAAATATGAGATTCTTTTTATTGAATGATAAAATCCTTCTGACAATAAAAAAAAACCATATTACGGTTCAGCACTAATTAAAAGCCTTAATTAAAATATTATATCACTTCTAATTGCCGTTATTTGGGAATATCGCCTACGCTAATGATATAGTACTATATATTTGATATTAACACAAGTATGACTGTATGGTATGATCCAATAAATATAACTTTTTGTAATAATCAAGAAACCTATGCGTGAATTGTTATAAGAAATCAATCGACTAAAATCGACCGGTTAAACCGAAAATTAACTTTAGCAACAATTATTATTATTTAACGTTTCTGTCATCCCGCTTAATTCTTTCCTCAGTCTTTCAATATCTATACCTAATCCATCGAGATCTCTGCGAGATACAAGTAATTGGTCATTGACATTTATAAAATTTGTACAAAGATCATATGTAGCATCGAGTGTTTCTGAAGATATTGGAGTGTTAGCAGCTGGCAATTTATTTAGATGTTCGATAAGTGATGAGGCTGTTGTGAACTTTAGAGGTTGTGCTGTAAAAATATTGAAATTTTGAGTATTGATTAAAAAAAAATTTTTTTTTATTGGAAAACAGAATAAAAAAAAAGTTTACAATTTTCTCCAGATCCATCGGTTTTACTATTTTCGTTATTACTATCAGTAGTATTGACTATTTCTAAGATATCTATTTTTTTGCCAAGCGCTTGCTTGTTGTAAGCTTGTAAGCGGCTCAAATCTGATAAAATGTCATTAAATGAAAGTGGTGGTGGTGGTACTGGTGAAGTTGGCTTACGCTTAAACATTTTCTCTTCCAACCATGCGAAAATTGATATCCAATCCAATTATATATATATCGAATCATTGTCACGTGATAAAAATTCGGAGCTAGGCCGGCATTAAGCAAAATTTATAGTTCCACAAGCATAATGTTAACGTTAAAGACATACTTTATCGCTATTGAATGTCCGTATGTCTGTTAATCCGGTCAGTTTTATAAAATCACGAATTTCTCTTAGACAAGTAAAGCTTATTTAAAAGATAGCATTGTAACTATATGCTAACCCTTCCAGTTCACTAATTATTATATCTCATGGTCAATCAATTATTGCTCAATCACCAGTTGTCGTTACATGCTTTAGACAATGTGACATAGCATTACAGTTCATTATAATCATATTCGAACCATTTTTGAGAATTGTAATGACTGATCAAACTTTAGAAATGCATTCCATTAGTTCCCCAACCTATTTTGTCAAGTCTCGTTGATGAGAAGATAATTTGTGAAGTGAAAATTTAAAATGCACTGGCAGTAGAAATTGTGGTAATATTCATTATTCATTTAACGGTTACCTTTATGGTATAGTATGAAGTTTATAATTGTTTTAGCTTTTTTGCAATAATGCTGTATTTTGAGTTAAATAACTAATTAGGTATATAATTTATTTTACACCGAGCTTTATAACTGGTCAAAATAATATTTATATTGAAAAAAGGTATTGATTGATCAGAAAAACCATAAAAACTTAAGTCTTAACCTTATAACTAGAATACTTTAATTTTCAACAAATTTATAAAGTTCTGTTGCCTACAGAGTAAATAACATATGTAAATAAAATACAGTAATAACTTGTATAAAAATGTAATGACTGTACAACTAATAAAAATATGCATTTTTATATAAATTTTCTTAAGATACTGTACGATTTATTAATATAAATGCAAACATAAAATGAGTAATAAATTTTTTAATTATGAATGATTGAATTACTCAACATAAGGAATTTCAACTGGATCAATGGGTCGACTTCCTAAGAATATATCGTTACTTGCATTTACTATATTCATTAATTCAAAAATTTTTATAATTAATACATTTCAAATAATTTTTTTTTGAAATATAAATAAATATTATTACCTGGCTCAGGAAGATTTGAAAGATTCAAAAGTCGACTTGTGTAAATAGCTTGTGGATGTGTTTGATAGTTGAGTCGTGTCGACTTTACCTGATCTATTGAGAAATTTTTACCCGAGTCTTTAATTTCTTTAATTTTGTTTATACAATTCGGCTTTTTCTTCTTTCGAATCATGATGAAACGATTTCAGCGTATTAGCTAATTCTTTAGCAGTTGGTCGGTTTTGAGTTTCTGCGTCTAAGCATCTATTCATCAGATCCAAAAGTAGTTTAGGAACCTCACATCTAATTTTAGGTCTGAGACCTTTACAAATATTAATTGCAAGGCTGAAATCATGTGGAATATTATGATATGGAGGATATCCAGTAAAGACTTCTGACATAATTATTCCAAAAGAATAAATATCTGATTCTTGAGTATACAGTATTTCTTTCCATTTGTATATAACACCTCTGGAGCAATATAGGGAAGTACTCCAAAAAGTGCTTTAGAACTTGAGTCTTGTGATACTGGCTTACATAAGCCAAAATCAGTAATGTAAGAACTATACATATTTTGATTAACTATATTTCCAGAATGTAAATCTTTATGCACTAGTTTGGCTTTATGAATTGTCTTAAGTCCATCAGCTATAAAATATAGGTTAATTATTTTAGAAGCCCAATTTAATTCATCATATTTACTATCTAGCAATTTTCGGAGACTTCCCTGCTCCGCATACTCGTGTAGTTGTCACCTTTTGGGTTCTTAGTTATTCCAATTACCGAGTCGCCCCACCTAAAATATTAATTAGGATAAATAAGATTACTGTATTTTAGTAACCAAAAATTAAGTTTTGTACGTACTTCTTCTAAAAATTCTCGGTTTATATCTAGAATTATCAAGACTTTTTAAACAAACATCTATTTGTCCCTTTCTATTCCATTTACTTCCATAACTATCGAGTCCTTTGATATATCCGTCAATCCATACTGCCTTAAAAACAGTGCCAAAGCCTCCTTTAGCAAGATATTTTATATTTGTAAATCTGCTAAAGGGTATCCATTCAATAATGCCTCCAAATTTTCATGCATTAAGTTGTGTTTTTCGAATTAGTTGATCAATGTCATGATTATCACTTGTCCAATTATGAAATTCTTTCTCAAATCTTAATAGAATGTTGAAAAGTATAAATATAATTATAATAAAGTGCTAGAATTTAATGAATAATGTATACCGCCTATCAAGGGTTAACAACATATAATTAATTATTGCATTGGAATTAGTATGATTTATATAGTGATTTGCTGTAAAAGTTCGATTACTGTACTTACAAACTATTGTGGTTGCATAAGTGATTTAGATAAGGTTATGTTGGTTTTTATCGTGATTTGTATAGTAACTTGCTGTAAAAAGTTCGGTTGCTGTACTTACCGACTATTGTGATTGCATAAGTGATTTAGATAAGGTCATGTTAGTTTTGTAATGGACTTATTGTGATTTGTAAAATGATTTGCTGTAAAAAGGTTGATTACTGTATTTACAGACTATTGTAGTCGCATAAGTGATTTAAGGTTATGTTATTTATGTATCGTGATTTGTAAAGTGATTTGCTGTAAAAAGTTCGGTTACTGTACTTACAGACTATTGTGGTTGCAAAAGTGATTTAGGTGGGATTATGTTAGTTTTGTAACGGACTTATCGTGTAAAGTGATTTTGCTGTAAAAAGTTCAGTTACTGTACTTACTCGCTGTAGTTGCATAAGTGATTTAGATAGGGTTATATTAATTTTGTAATGGACTTATCGTGATTTGTAAAGTGACTTGCTGTAAAAAGTTCGGTTACTGTACTTACCGACTATTGTGGTTGCATAAGTGATTTAGATAGAGGGTTACGTTAGGTTTGTAATGGACTTATCGTGATTTGTAAAGTGATTTGCTGTAAAAAGTTCGGTTACTGTACTTACCGACTATTGTGGTTGCATAAGTGATTTAGATAGAGGGTTACGATAGGTTTGTAATTGACTCATCGTGATTTGTAAAGTGATTTGCTGTAAAAAGTTCGGTTACTGTACTTACTAACTGTGATTTAGATAGGGTTATGTTAGTTTTGTAATGGGCCTATCGTGATTTGTAAGGTAATTTGCTGTAAAAAGTTCGGTTTCTGTACTTACGAGCTGTAGTTGCATAAATGATTTAGATAGGGTTATGTTAGTTTTGTAATGGACTTATCGTGATTTGTAAAGCGATTTGCTGTAAAAAGTATACATGCCGCACAAACTACAAATCTTTAAAATCCCACCCAAACCCAAATCCCACCCAAACCCAAATCCCAAACTGGACAAATCCTATTTGGGCTGTCATAATCCCAAACCCTGGCCAAATCCCAAATCCCAAACCCATCCCAAATCACAAATCCCAGATCCCAAATCTCCAAATCTCAAGTTTTCGAATTTAAAATTTCAATCCAAATTTATTTAAAATGACATTATGATATTTATTTGTACAAAATCATGCGAAATTACATTGCAGATGAGGTAGAATCGTTATATCATGCAAGGTATGTATATAGTACGTATAGAATAATATTTGAGATTTGGGATTTAGAACATGGGATGGGATCTGGGATTTTGAATGAGATTTGGGATGGAGTTTGGGATTTGGGATTTGTCCGGTTTTACCACATGGGATTTTAGACTTGACCGGACAACCCAAACCCCAAAAGTTTGTCCGGTAAGTATAATTGTGGGGCGAACCAAAAAACCTTAAAGGCGTAAAACTTATTTTGATTAATTCTAATTTATGTTTTGGGAGTTTGGGATTTGGGATGATATTTGGGATTTGAAATGGATTTGGGATTGGGATTTGTTCAGTTTGGCCTTATGGGATTTCAAATATAATTGGAAAATCCCATTTGTCCGGGTTTGTCCATGGAAAAGCCCCAAATCCCAAACGTTTGTGCGGCATGTATAATTATTTGCGTTATGTATTTCGAATCTGATTTGAACTGATCACGCTGCTAATGTGGGGGTTCTTTCTCTCATTGTGCTGCAAGTTTAAACATTTGAATCAAGAATTGTTCTTCTTTAGTTAAAATTGGTATCATCTTTTAGCATGTAAAAGGAAAATGTTTGTATATAGTCCTCTAGATAATAATCTAGATCTTGACTCTGATTATCTGTTATTATTTTGATCAACCGCTTCGTTTTACTTTGACAAGAACAGCGGTTGTATTTATACTAGAGTTGTTGGTGAAACTAAATTGAGCTGGTGAAACTGGGGACTATCTGAAATCTGATTGGCTATTGTGGTAAACAGCCAATCAATTTTAGATATCACCAGCTCAATTTAGTTTCACCAACAGCTCTAATTTATACTAAGAACATTTAACCTTTTTCATACTTTTCCATTTTTTTTACAAAAAATGTCTATATGTTATATGTTCTATTGGATATGCCTTTATTTGTGCGTAACTTTTTCAGGAGACCTAGGTTATTCCTTTTGTAGATATTGTTAATGGCTATAAAGTTTTGATAATTAGTGCAAAAAAAAAGATGTTGGAACAAAAGTTTGCTGACCGGAATGATCTTCTATGTAACAAACTACGTGTCCCGTACCTCATTTACGTATTTAACGACAAACACGTTTGATCATGTTTCCACTAATTTAAACTTTAATTTCCGACACATTTTCTACGCAAAAATACCGTTCCTGATGGGGTGAAAAAAAAATCGGGTTCTTAAAGGAACCCGAAGTTAATTCTCATGACGATGCTTAGTTATAATGCGAATGCTAACTCACGACCCGTGATTAATTCACAACATTGATTTCAACTTGCCTAAATATTTGTCTTAAAATAATACAGTACCATGTCTACGCAAAAAACTTCCATAGGGCGTTATTCGAGACACATAATTTAAGAAAGCTAATAATTAATTTAGCAAAGAATTATTAACATTAAAATTATGATTGTATTCGGCTAAATTAAATATTAGCTCTCTTTGAATTACATGTCTTAAAATAATGCTCATGGGCATTATTTCGCGCGAATTCGGTAAGAATATTTGGGTTGAATACTAAATTCCGCTTGATTATTATGTTATGCGTTGATCTTATAATTTGGTTGGGCAGTAATAGTGGACTGACAAATTTTTATGCAATAGCCTTATATTTCTACAGTAGTTTAGTTTTTAAAGAACGGTACGGTATGTAAATCGATTTTTTTTCATCTCACCATCAATTTTAAGGAGAAAGCAACAGATTAAATATGGTGCATTTTTTCACTACGTAGCAGTAGTATGATATAAAAATCTACTTTTTAAATTAAAAATTAAAAGAACAGGTACTGTACTGCTGTATAAGTTATGAATCAAAAAATTTTTTTTTTCATTATTGTTTATGCATCTAATATACTGTATACTTATAGTATAATAAAAAAAAAATTCAAAATCCTCTTGCCTTTAATATTCATTATTTGTGCATCAAAAAATTAGGTTTACTGTATTTTTTAATTATTTAACAGAGTAAATACAAACGAATACAATTCATAAACTTTATGAATTGTTCAAGTATTTATTTGAAATTTGCTTTTAAATTTTTTTACTGTATGAGATTTATAAATGGTTTATTTTTATATAATTGTTTGACTGACTTGAACCGAAGAGTCTCTGCTCAAAGAATCGAATGCGGTGCGAACCTTTATACTTTTATATATAAATGCAAATCATTAGACATTTCACTTGGCTATATAATAATAAGCTACTTAAATTCGTTATGTAAATACTTTTGTATGAAGTTCGGTTTTGATCAAAAGCCGTGAAAAATGATTCTTTACGATTTAATTGACTTTTTTTTTTCCTTTTTTTACGTGAGTTACTATTTCATTTCCGTAGATTAAATGAAGAAACTCCACCTTTTAAATAATTCGTTAGGATAAATCTATAACTTTGGCAGAGAGTATTATGATCTATTACTGTATTAATGCTGTGCAAAAATCTCAAATTTTTTGGTTGCTTAAATTTTTACATAGTATATATGTAAAATTACGTTTCTGATATTTTTTATTGATTTAAATCAAAATTGTAATTTTGGTCATAGAAATATAGCAGTATCCCGGGATTTTTTATTATTGGCTAAATTTATGTCATACGTACATTCGAAGATTGTAATACGCCGAGTTAATGTTCAAAATTTGAATAAAATGTCGTTTTCACCTCATAATGAAGATGATTATTCTGACCTTGAGAGACGCCTCAGAGAATTAAGGAAATCAAATAACAATATTGAAACTGAAGAAGAATTATCTGAAAGGTTTACAAACCTTTTTGGTCGTCAAATAACTGTTGAAACAAAAGAGGTGATAAAAGATAGAACCTATAAATTGCCTGCAGAAAATGTGTTGAATGACGCGGAGGTATTTTAAGGGTTATTGTTTAAGTTGTTAGTCCTTATTATTTAATTCTATATATGTACAATTTTTATTATACAAAAGATCGAACAATTATTGCTATCCGAAGAGAGTTTATTAGATGATGAATCATTATTTTCTATTGCACATCAAAAGAAATTAGACAGTGTTGTTTCGAAATTTTTGGGTGATAATGATGAAAGTAATCGTGATGATGACATAGTAGCTTCAGATCTTATACATCAAATACAAGATGATGTTTATCTAGAAAATAAGTATGGTAATGAAGAAGACAAAAATATATCAGACTACAACGATTTGGAAGAAAGATATAGATTGTTAAAAGAAAGTGGTGTAAAATTATCTTCAATTAGTAGTGAAAAGATACACGTTAGCCCATTAGGTCCTCCACCAAAGCCCTTGGAATTGTCTGAATTTGATGATGATGATCCGGATACTTGGTGTTGTCAGTTCAACTTATTCGTATACTATATACTAATAACTAGTAGTTTAGGCATTAAATAATATTTAAATTTATAGGTATTTGTAATGAAGATGCAGTAATCAAATGCCGAGATTGTGATGATTTATATTGTCAAGGATGTTTTCAATATGGCAAGTTGTAATTATATTATATATACTGTTATTTTTGATCAACAATTTTAGATTGACTTAATTATCATTAATTAATTTTGGCAGCTCATTTTGATAAAGATTCAGATAGCGAATTAAGACAACATAAACATGAAAAATACGAAAGAAGTGGTTTATAACAGACAAAAAAGATAAATCGTTAATTTAAATACTAAATATTACTAGATATTACTAGATATATATTACAGTATTACTATATTATTATTATTATTACTATTAAATTTAAGTTATTGTAAAGATGTTTTTGGAACACTAGGAAGTTGTTCCAACAAGTTCTGTACTTTTTTTTCTCGCCGTTTTTTGTTAAGATTGGATTCTCGCAAATAAAATATATCTCTATGTAAGATATACTGTTTCGGCTTAGGTGGTGATGGAATTGGTGGTGGTTGTTTCTTATTTGTCTCCTTTTTATCTTTACTTTTTTCATCTTTATTCTTTTCATCCTTATCCTTTTCATCCTTATTCTTTTCATCCTTATCCTTTTCATCTTTCTCGTCTTTAGTCTTTGTCGAATCTTTGGAATCTTTTTCGTCTTTAGCTGTCTTGTCTGCGTTTTTTTCTTTTTTGGTAGGTTCCTTTTTTTCTTTTGATTTCGGTGGTGTTGGAGGAATTTTTTCCGGTTCTGGAAATGCCGTAGCGAATCCACGATCATCCAAATGACTTTATTGGAAATAAAATTCAATTATTAGTCATAACTTCATATAATTGCAAGCTTTACGCTGGAATTTAATTGATATAATACTTTTTTCGTTTATCGAAAGCCTATGAAAAAAATAATTGTTTCATTATTTAAAATAATTGCATTAAACTAACCTAGTGCAAGTATAAAACCAATCTAACCCATTATCTGTGGTTAAAACTGCATTCGTATATTTATTGCACACAAAGCATGGTCGCTCTGTTGTTGCGGTACGATGTGTATATAGGTTCTTAAGTATAGGCACAACAGGTGTTGTCATTTACGCAGGATAAAAAAAAAAAATCAAAATATCAATTATTACCAGTATTGGTGTCTTACGAATTAATTAAATCATAATCAGATCATTGGATCAGATGACAATAACAGATATCAGATATAAGATTCGATCTTTTCCCACTGGTTATATTGTTATAGTTTACCTTTATTTTAGAACGATGTCGGATATTCGAAAATACTTTAATGCACCTGGTGGTGCTTCTAAGAAAAACGCGAAGAAGGTATTTAAATGAAGTCAATTTATTATTTATTTCGCGTATTATATTACTGATCGAGTTTTACACTTGTATACGCGTAAAAGACTCCAAAAACGGATAATAATGATCAAAGTGAAAATGTTCCCGAAGAACCAAGAGTGAATCCTGGTAAATCCAAACCGTCTAAGAGAGCAAAAGAAGATGATTCTCATACAGAGGCTCCCAAAAAAAAGCAGCCGAAAACTACTCCATCTGCATCAGAGCCAAAAGAAATACCTGAAGGCGCAGAAAATTGTTTATTCGTAGGCTTTATCTTTTTTAAATTTTTTACTTAATTTTGTATATTTTTTGCATTTTCTTTATTTGATTAAAAAAATATCTTATCATTTTTTAAGGGGAAAACTTTTGTCTTTACTGGTGATTTAGAAACTCTTTCAAGAGAAGACTCCCAGGATCTCGTTAAACGTTATGGAGGGTTAGTGATTGAAATAGTTTTAGTTAGGGAAATGTATATTATGGAATTTTATATAATTTCTACTTTTAGGAAAGTCACCGCAACCCCAAGTTCACGTACTACTTATGTTGTTGTTGGTGACAATCCTGGTCCGAAAAAACTAGAAAAGATCAAACAGCATAATATTCCAACCCTGAATGAAGATGAATTATTAGACCTCATAAAAAATGCTCCAGCACAATCTGCTGAACAACCCAAGTCTGCGAAAGGAAAATCACGTGCTTCGGATGCTATGGAAATTTCTGATCCAATACCCACCACCTCTGGTTCTTCTAGCACGTGTGTTATTTATAATAATTTTTATAGACGTGCTTTTTTGCCTTATTTTTACAATTGACTTTTTTTTAGAACGCTTCTATCTCAATTATGGTCTGACAAATATAAACCGAAATCTCTTAAAGAATTGTGTGGGAACAAATCTGCTGTTGAAAATCTTCAGAAATGGCTTAAGACTTGGTAAGTTATGTCATATGTCATATTAATGATTTTTTTTAGTAGGAAAAATGTTAAAAGTGGTTTTTTTTGATCGAATAAAACTTAGGGAGTCGAATTTAAAAAGTGGTTTCGATTTTAAGTCAAAATATCCAGCTGCTTTAGTGTCTGGTCCTCCAGGGATTGGCAAAGTACTAAACACATGTTAACAATTTCATGCTCTATTAATACTGTAATATATCTGGCAAAATTTTAAATGATGTATTTGATCTAGACTACGGCTGCACACTTAATTAGTAAACTTGAAGGTTATGATGTGAAAGAATTTAACGCCAGTGATACTCGCAGTAAAAAAGCGCTGCAAGTATGTTTCATTTCAAGGACTTTATTTATTGTATTTTTTATTTTTATCTAACTTAAATATTTATTAGATGGCCGTTAAAACCGCTACACAAAATACTTCTATCATGGGATTTTTTCAATCTGAAACTGAGGTAGAATTAGTGATATTATAAATTAATTATAAATTAATTATAAATTGATTTCAAAAGGGTCCAATATTTTTTTAACAATTTATTTTAGAAGGCGAAAAAAATGGGCAGAACTCTTATAATCATGGATGAGGTTGATGGCATGTCCGCTGGAGATCGAGGTGGCGTTACTGAACTTGTTCAACTAATCAAGAAAACTCAAGTATATATTAAAAATATATATGTGTAAATCATAATACTTTAGTGAAAAATGCAATTAAAAAAAAAAATTTTTTTTTATTTTGTTCAAGGTTCCGATTATCTGTATTTGTAATGAAAAAGGAAAAAAACTACAATCTTTAGCTAATGTTTGTAATGAGATTAGATTTCAAAAGTAAGTGAATGGCACGTCACATATCAATAGATAATTGCTATATTCCACTAATGTACAATTTATAATTATCAGACCCCGAGTTGAGCAAGTCCGCTCACGAATCATGACCATAACGTCAAGGTTTTTTGAAATATTATTATTTAATGTTTTCTACTTTCGAGCATTCATATACCTATGTTATCTTTAGGGAAAATCTTAAGTTTAGCCAAGTAAATATCGTGGATGAGATTATCACGGGTGCGAATGCTGATATTCGTCAAATTTTAAACAGATTGTCTTCTTGGAAATTGGCAAACAATAGCATTAATTATGATGAGGGCAAGGCTATGTATGTTACTTGGTTCCTAATATAATTTATTAGTATAATAATAATAATAATTATTATTATTTGATCTAGAAATAAAGCATCAGAAAAGAATGTAGTTTTAGATCCATTCGACATTATCACACGGCTTTTTGGTACTTCGATATGGAATAACCGCGCCGGAAATTTAAATGATAAATTGGAATTATATTTTCATGAATCAGATATTGTACCGTTAATGATTCAAGTGAGTTTCTATATATATTTAATCTTTTACAACAATGAGTTACGTAAAAATGATCTAATATTATTAATTATTTTTAAGGAAAATTATCTAAAAATTAAACCTCATATTCTTTCAAACACCATCGAAAGAGATGATGTAAATCCGAAGGAACTTGAAAAATTTTCTATATTAGATGCCATAAGTAAAGCAGCGGCTTCTATATCAGATGGTGACATATGTGATTCGATGATTCATGGGTCAGTAATTTGTTCTCATAGTTATTAAGATATTGGGAGTACAAGTTATTATATCCATTTTCTTCGTATGTATAATTTAGATCCCAACCACAATGGACTCTTATGCCAGTTCATGGCATGTTTTCTTGTGTTATTCCAACATATCACGTTCATGGTAGTAATACTAGCGGTGCTCGTTACGCGTTTCCAAGGTATAAACTGATATTTATCGAGATATACATCGGACAATACACCCGAATATTTCGATACATATCATTATTCATAATTAAAAAAATATATTTATTATTAAAAATCATTTGCAGATATTCACATATTCATATTTGATTATTGGCAGTTTTCTGGGTCAAACCTCTAAAACTAACAAGTATAAACGTATCTTAAGAGAGGTACAAATACATATGCGATTAAAAATTTCTGGAGATAAGAATGAAATTCGCCAGAGTTATCTTCCTGCTTTATTTACTGCACTTTCTCAACCATTAATCGAAAAAGGATCGGTATGACAATATTATTTAATGTTTATAATTTACGTGATAAATCATTTTTAAGATGTATATTTTTTTATTTAGAAAGGAATTCCTGAAGTGATTGAGCTAATGGATCAATATTATCTTAGCAAAGATGATTGGGATGCAATAATGGAATTAAGCTTTGGAGGCGATAAAATATTAAAAGATATTAACAAAAGTGTTAAGGCAGCCTTTACAAAAAAGTAAGATATATTTCATATAAAAGATATGGTTTATATTAGTTTGATTCAACAAGATTGACTTAACTTTTTTTTAATATTCTATAAGATATAATTCATCATCGCATCCTATACATTTCCTCAAAGTTCCATCAGGTAAATCTTCAAAAACTGCTAGTGCTGATGCAGTTCCCGATTTTGAAGATGCAATTGAAGTTGAAGAAGTTGCCGAGGAAGACGAAGGAGTTGTTAGTGACGATTAGTGCTGTAGTGGTTGGACCCGTCTGAAAAATCATGGCCCGGGTAACCCGGGTGGATAAATGATAAAATAAAAACCAATTATAAAATTTTATCTTCTATAATTGTAATATAAAATTGATAAAATATTTGATGAATTGCACAAGAACTATGCTAGAGCTGATTCATAACATGCCTAACTCCGCCTAGTTATATTAATTTTTCATATCAGATATTTTTCTCTTTCTGCATATACTGTAACAAAATTATCATCTCATGAATGTCATTAAAACTCAATTATAATCTATGAAAAAATTGATATGTCGACATAAATTGAAAAATGACGCGGAACACAGCCACAATACACATAAAATTTAAGCCATCGCAGAAGAATAATGGCCTAGCTCAATTCATCTTAATAAATCCTTATCCTTAACGCTAACACTACGATACTGTTAAGATATTTTTTTTTAAAAAAAAAAAGGTGACAAAGGATCACTGAAAAAACGAAAAAGTGAGGAAAAAAGAAAAAGCGACAAAGAAAACGTTGACCTAAAAAAAAAGAACGCGAAAAAGTATTAAAAAGAACGAACCATCGAAAGAACGACCAAGAAACCACTAAGAGAACGATGGAAAAACTCCAAAAGAACGACGAAAGAGCCACAAAGAAGTAACCAAAAAACCACCGAAAAGCGACCGAAAAAAGAAGCACCAAAAAAACGACGCAAAAAAATTTGGTCGCTAGGGTCTTACAGGTAGACCCGTTACTTCTTACCCGGGTTGACATAACTGCCGGGTGATGCCTATCCACTAGTTAATTCTAATACGTGATTTTGTCTGTTTAATTGCAGAATCATAAATAATTAATTTTATTTGAAAATAAAATTTTTTATAGAATTTATGCATTATCTTAATTTTTATTTGAAGTTTCATTATTAGCGTAATATTACAAATATGAAGTATTAAATTGCAAAACAAAAAACAAAAGGCATCCTCATGATTCATTTATATCAATATAACAAAAAAATTCTAATGTACTGTAATAAAGATATTTCGACCTCATAAAATTGTCTTATATAAAATTTAAAATGTCTCAATAATCCGCAGCCCAACCATTCTTGCTTAAAAAGTCTTCAATCGCTTCTTTCATTGCTAAATTTGGATATAAATCACTTTCTCGACATTCACGCCTTGACAATGGGTCGAAATGTCCTATCTTTTTAAAATGTTCTTTCAAATGTGCTCTTTCATATGTAATTCCTGATGGTGTGATAACTGGATCATGCATAATATTGAAAGATATTTTGTCCAAGAAATGATCAGGTAAATCTCGAACTTTAAGATTTTCATCTGATTGACTAAATACTTGTTCTATTTGAGAAAGTTTTTCGTTATGTCCTTGATTAATAATATCCATTTTTTCTTGAACATCAGGAGGATGTGAACTAACAATTTTTGAAAACATATTGCTTTTCGATGAAACTTTTTGAAGTTGCCTATCTCTTTCCGCGTTAATTAAACCTTTAACATATCTTAATAAATCTGATTCTTGATCAATGCGTTTTTTCTCTTCTAAATTCCATTTTTTTTTTCGAGCACTTAATAAAGCTTGAACAATTTCAGCGGAAAAAACTCCTTTATCTTTAATTGTAAGGTCATATGCTTTTTGTAAATTTGAAATAGCCGTGTCAAAATCAATTTGTTCTGTTAAAGCTTGACCTAACATATAATATCCTTTAACCGAAGTAGGATCTTGTTTAATAGCCATTTCACAGTCTGCTATAACATTTCCATAGTTTTTCATTTTCAAGTAACATAACGCGCGGTTTGTATAATAAACGGAATTATTAGGAGCTTTATTAATAGCTAAAGAATATTCCGTGATAGCTCTGTTATAATCTTTACTACTAAAATGAGCATTCCCTTTCTTCTTATGCTGTTCAGCCTCAACAATGTTCGACATTGCGAGTAAAAATGAATGAATAAAAGAAGCTTGCTCTCTTTTTTTTCTTTATTACGTATTGGAAAAAAATGACGATTTTAGAAAGAGACGACGTTGTATTATATATAAATAGATAAAAAAAAGATGTACTGTACTAACATGTGGACAATAATGTTTCACAAAGTCACTTAAAAGTATCTCAAAAATAATAATAGTTTCGAAACATGCGGCTTATGCTAAAGAAAGAAATTGGTTGAGGCTTTCTTTTTTCGAAAATAAAATTTTTTTCATTCATTTTTTATATATATATATTTTTGCATTGAAGATACGTTCTTTTAAAATAAAATTATTTTATGTTTTTCCAAATAATTCCAATGCAAAGACTCGTATTACGCTTTTTGGGCCGTTTTTCTCGAAAAACTTTCATTCGTAGTGCCTGGAAAAATTTGAATAGTTTAAGTGAACACGATGAACTAGTTGACGCTCTGGAAGCTCTCATATCAATGTCTCATGAAGGTTTTTCTTTTCTCTTTGCTAAAGTCTTATATACTCGTGAAAGTATTGAGCATTACTTAACAACACGCTTTTTTTTTCTTTGAAAATGTGATATATTATAGAAAACGAATTCATTGAACTTATCACGGTTATTGCTGATGTTCTTTCGGAAGCGCCCATGGCCTCAGCCTTCTTGTGCCATATTATTGGTAAATATTTTTACTTTTTGATTCTTTTTTAGTAAAAAGAAATTTATGAACTATTATGCATTTTCTGAAAAAAAGATACTTTATAAAAAATAGATAGTGCGGCACTTCCTTCTAAAGAAACATCACATAAAATAACGACAAGACTACTTCAAAAACTTAAACCAGGTTTATGTATGAATTACATTTTTTTAATATTCGCGTTATTGATTTTTTTAGAAGCATAAAAATTTTTATTCAAAACTTTATAATTCTTAGGTAGAACTAAACCAAAGAAGCGTATACGAGTTAATGTCTCAATCATGTGGAGTGTTCTTGCTGAGAAATTGGCAGGTGGGAATCAATTGATAAAAATTAAAGCAAAAATCCTAAACTATTGTAAATAAATAATAATCTATTGAATAGGTGAAATAAGCTTATCACTATTTACAGATAGTGTATGTAATACATTATTGGATTATCTCCAAAATGATAATGATCCAAGAGTGCGATTATTTGCTCTGATCGCACTAGAAAAATTTGGCATGACAGGGCAAAATAAACAAAAGATTCTTTCAGCTGAAAAAGATATTCATAAAATGTTACAAGTGCTATTAAAAGAATTATATTCAAACGAGAATTCAACATTTGACGTTTATCGTAAAAGACAATTAAAATTTTGTGTAGAATGGGCTTTAAAAAACACTTTTGGTATGTCACACATAATTTTTGGATTTATCATAGTAGCTATACTTGCCGGAAATCCCAATAAAAAATTAAATCCAAAAAAAAAAAAAAAAAAGTAAAGATAATTTATATAACTACGAGAATATTCGTTTGAATGAAGATTTTTGATAAAGTTTTGAGATAATAGTCTGGCCAACAGTTGGATTGAATAAGAGTTTGGGATTTGGATAGCAAGTACGGTCATAAATGTCGAGCTATTTTTAATACAGTTGTTCATTAGCGATGTCTAATTTTTTGGTCATAATATTAAAGTCATTTTTTTTTTATATAAATCTTGCTTTTATTTTCATTTATTTACGAATCAGATTCTGGCAAGGTATAAAGTTTTCTTTTTTCTTGTCTGTTTTCTATTTTAGAATATTCGATTATTAACGTTATAAATATTATATGTATTAATTTGTAGGGAAATATATGGAATTCCGATGATAGTTCGACCAATCATAACATAAATGTGATGATGAATCCCCTGGATGCCACTGCTCATTGGAAACTATCACCAAATGGCTTGGAGGTATTAATTTTTCGACAAATTATATAAATTATATATAGAAGCTTTTACCTAAACCTATTATTATTAAATTTAATATTTATAGATAAGAAATGATAATTTTGCATTCGAATCAATTCGTGCTACGGCGGGAGTTACTTCTGGAAAATGGTTTTATGAAGTTCTATTGCTCACCAATGGTATTATGCAGGTTTGTTCAGGCATATCATTTTTTTTTTAGCGACTCTTATAAAATACAATCTGAATAATTGCTGTGTGATACTATTTGAAAAATCGTTAGATTGGATATGCAACCAAACGCTGTACGTTCGGACCAGAAGAAGGTACAGGTATCGGTGATGATCATGTCAGTATCATTATACAATTGTGTAATTTCTCGATTTATGTAATTTTAAAATATATAACAAAAATTTTTGTATTATTAGTACGGATTTGCATATGATGGATGTAGAAATATCTTATGGGTAAGATTTATCAAATGGATAAGCAATAAATATATAACGTCAAATATAACAAATTATATTTTTTCAGGCAAACGGTATATCCGTACCGTATGGTGGCAGTTCGCCATGGAAACCAGGTATCGTGTAATTATGTATACGTTGATTATCTTCTTTATTAGCAATAACTAATTTTTTTATATGCAACGAATGATAGGAGATATTGTGGGTGTATACATGGACATTAACCTCGGTTGTGTTCGTTTCTATCTCAATGGCAAAGATTTAGGAATGGTACATCCCCTTAACATTTCTCAATTTCGAAAATTGGCCGAAAATGGACTGCATCCTGCTTTGTCATTTACTTCATATCAACAAGCTGTTGTCAATTTTGGAGCCGAGAAATTTCGGTAATTTTTGCAGACATAATTCATTATTATGCTACTTTATACATATTTGTCTAAATGTTCAAATACTCTTTTTAAAGATATCCACCATCATCATTATCTTACGAAAAGCTCAATAATCATGTTCAACTATCAGCAGAACTCCGTGATTCAATACAAAAGAGAGTTTGGAGAACTTCACGTTACCGATCAATGTCCATAAGTTCTAGCTTGAAACAACTATTTGAGGCGACCGAAGATGACTTTGATGCACAATGTTCTATTTGTTTTGCAATGCCTCCTTGCATTACCCTGGGGCCATGTAATCATGATGGATTTTGTGTGGAATGTGCCAAAATGATGAATTTATGGTATTTATATATTAATAAAAAAGGCACTTTTTGACTTTTTAACTCGACTAAATTTCTCTAAATTTCTCTTAATTTTTAGTCCGCTCTGTAGGTGCCCAATTTCATCGAGAAGGCCTATGAACAATAATATTTTACCACCCTCCCCTACAAAATTATCCATTTCATCATCAATTCCATCTACAGCTATTGTTTTACCCCCAACACCACCCGATTCTCGTTCAGAATCTTCAATCCCCTCTTTGGATCCAGATATTTCACGTGGACTAGAGCCATAAAAATTTGCAAGATATATTTTTTTTCTTCATTTGGTTAAAACATTGTATATAATATGTCTTATATGATATAAATGGATAACTTTTATAGCATAGTTTTTGATTATATTACATTCAACATTCAAGATCAAAAATATTGCAGAATCAAATTATTACGTTTATTTTTTGACATTTTCTAATTTGTCTTATTTTTTCAAATAAAATGTTTCATACTGCTAATCTTGTATTTGTACATATTCAAATCATGAATTATGTAATGCGTAACATGGATGAGCATACGTATAAGAAACAAAAACGTTAAATAATTTTGTGGTTACTGGAATTATTAAACGTAATAATTATAAGTGGCGAAATGAAAAATTTGCAATTATTTTTGATTGGCTAATTTGTAATTACATATTATACCATATTTCATATATATCATACATATAGTATATAAATAAATAAATATATATATATATACCTATATATAGATTGAAATCGCTAATTATACGTACGCACGTACGTATACGAATCAATATATATATATGGATAATCATTGTTAATAAACCAAAAGTTTTTACGATAAATACTAGACCATTAAAGTTTAAAGAACTATTATGCATCATTTCTCATTATTAATTGACGCATGTATTTTTTAATTGAAAATGACATAAATCGTTTTTTATTATACGTACGTAGCGCATTTGAAAACTAAATTTATACGTAAATATATACAAATTTGATCAAATTTTATATAATTAATATGCAATATTGATGAAATTAATTATTTTTACTGCCCGTCAAGACACATCCACATCTTGAGTTTCTAGTTTGAACCAATATTACGAACATGATTTGTAATATAAAATAATAAAATTTTTATTCAATTGAATTTTTTTTTTTTACTTAAAAAATGGCGTTCCTGAATATTACGGGTTGAATAATATGTGGGCGGGGTTAGCAATGGATATACTCCATTAGAAAAATTGCCAATTGAACCAATGGAGCCAATAAAAAAAAATAATAATAATAAAGCGATGAACCGATAGAGAATAGGATTCTAATAACCCGACCTATTGACAAATAGGTCAAATGGATCGATCACCTTTTAACAAATGGGTCACCCAGTTGAAGAATAAAATTGATCATGATTTAAATTTACAGTATTTATGCGATCGTATTTAGACTATTTACATTAAAATTGTTTATGCGCTTCTGGTCAGAAATTAAACTTAATTAGTAGGATATATTTTAACCGATCAAATGCGGTCATCACAGAACACGTCTATTAAATAACTAGGAACGGGAACCGTTGGGGTCCGGATCATAGATATTTATATTAATTTATGTTAGGTTGTCTGTTTAAGATATACTCTTTTTTATTCATCAATTTTATGTACTCTTACTTAAGTCAATGATGGCATGTACCGGTATTTGAATTCAAACTTGTAAACTAAAGTCTATAAAAAGATACGATATATAGTTTGATAAATAAGAATCATTAAGTGAGATACAATATAGAGGTCCAAATTTTGTTACACGAGATTTTTGGGGTTCTGACCATATATAGCACCCCCTGGTGATTGGATTTTGATTGGCGTTTATTGTTTACATTTATTAACCAATCAAATCGAATATCAACTAAGATATAAATTTACGCGATTTTATTTTCATGTGGATATAGAACTTAACATCACCCATAACTGCATAATGAAGCTCAATGATCTTACAAAACTTTTCCAAAGGAACGTCGATTTGTATCTGAAAGATACTAAGGAATATATAATGCTTAATGGTGACATGAACATCGAGCCAGAAAATAAAAAAGTAGAAGAACAACAAAAAAAATTCAAAGAAAATGTCGAAAGTTTTATTAAAAATTTTGGTAAAGAAGCTTCAGATCATATTGAAAAAAACACGAATGAATATATGAAAACACATGAAGGTAGAAGGCCTTCAAAACAATGGGAAAAGGAACAACGATTTTCTTTTGTTGAAGAAAGAATAGGTGTTTCTGTTCAAAGGTTTAAGGAAAATTTTTTCAAAAGATTTCAATATGAACCACAAAAGCATCATTTAATGAAGTATGCCGACTATGGTGTGAAATATTTATTTTATGAAACATGGAAAGAGTATCATATTAAGCTCTCTAATAAATGCAAAAAGAACGAAATTAAAAAAGACAATAATGATATCATCAGTCGATACGGATATCACGAGGAAAATTCACCAACACGTCAAATAAATCCTTTTAAACAAGCGCAAATGATTGGAAATGAAAAATTTAGACAAAAACAAGAAAGCACAAAAAATTTATTCAATCCACTCAGACAAACGCAACAAAGCGGACTGGACAAATTCAAACAACAAAAACAAGACGTGAATTCAGTAACAAAAGGGACGCCAACTTTGCCATCAGCTGATACATCCACATTTAAACAAACGCAAAAGAGACTATATAATGATGATACTGATGAACTGATTTTTTCGGCTCTTCAGGAAGTGCCAGATGATGAGGTGCAATCCTCACAAAAAAAATCCATCCTGGAAGATGGCAAAAGTTGGCAAGAAAAAATTAAGGAAACAGGTTACGATCCTAGGAAGGATCCCATCCTCAAACATTTTATAAAAAAGCTGGTTGAGGATGGGATCGAGATTCCAGGCATGAAAGGCATGGAGATTATAGATGATTTTCTATGATTTATACTGTATATCCTTTTCTACTGACTCACCCCCGTATATCCATTTTTTTAATTCGTGCTACAAATTTTCTAAGTTTTAAAATAAATTAAAGTTTTAAATTTTTTAAATTTTAAAAATAAAAACAAATACAGTATGTTCTTTTTAATGTTTAGATAAAATATGTCAAGCAATTGCATAATAAAATGTGAAATAATATAACTTAGCTTTTGATAGATGGCGATGTCAGAATAAATTAATGTGGTGGGTTATGCTGAAATTTCCGGCCCAAATTATAAAAAATTTTTATTTAATTTTATATTCAATATGAAGTTTTTTAAATATATCGTTCAATTTTTTTATTTATTTTTAGTTAAAATATTTTCATATAGCTTATATAATATTTCAGCATGATCCAAATTTCAGAATAATCCCCACAATTAGTTTGATTAAAAATGATGACGTAGAAAATTAATCAAACGAGACCGAGAATCCTTTTTACTGTAATGACTGTTAAGCAGTTTTGATCTTATTGATTTAGCAATATTAATTTTAGGTATTATCACTTATTGCTCGGAGTGACACTGTTTTTACTACGGACTATGATTAGGGTTGCAATTATACCGGAATAGAAAATGGTAACCGTATAACAATGGTATAATCAAGCGATTTAATTGGCTAAACTATTTTACTATTGGTATTTATACCAGTTACACTGTTCGCTTCCGTGATGCTGATTGGTTGAATATACGAAAATATGACAATTTTGGTGTTTACGCGTAGATTTATGTATAAATATTTGTAGATGCCCTTTTTCAAATGTACAGTATTTTCCTTTTATTATTTATTTGAATTTTGTCTTTTGTGAACATATTGTTTGTCGTTTTTTTGAAGCTCCACTAAACATTTTCTTGTTAAATATTGTATCATTGATATATATTTTATTATTTTGAAATTCGAATTGAAAAATAAATTAAAAATAATTAATCTATAATTTTTTTAGGACTCCGTTTGATGCCTACCTGCAGAATAAGGTAATGTATATCTGGCGGTATCTTGGTCTAGGACTTGGATTAACCTAGAGAAAGAAAGGCATCGAGCATATTTTCGGGTATTTTAGTATTCATGTTTTTTTGCAAACCTGAGCTTTTTCTCCCGCACAAGTCTACCGATTCTGAGGAAAAGTTAGATGTTTCTTGTTGCGGTAAAAAGGTTTGCAAAAGATTTACAAGAAAATGGGTCCATTTTTACTTACCTGATACTATCAGAAAATCTATTGACGAAATTTAATTAATATAAATTTAATACTAAAATTCGTGATATTAAAATTGACACGAATAACAACCCAACCCCGTTTGCGGTTCTTGCAGCTACAAAAATAAATTTTTATAAAAGAACATAAAGCAACAGAGTCTATGTGGCTTATGCTTCAGGGTTCTTGGTCTCTTACACCTAAATGAGACACAAGTGTGGGTATGACATCCTTCTTAAGTTTCGTATCGTTCTATTCCCAAGTTTCTCAACTGGCCACTTGCATTTCTATAAGAAGGAGGATGTTGCCAACTTTTTTCACGAGATGAAGGATAAAGAAATTAAGGATTGTCTTGCTGGATGTATTATTAAATTTAGTAAGGCAATGTACTTTAAGACTTCTCTTAATACCAGATATATTATTGTAAGTAAACGGGATATAGTTCCATTCCTTATTTCCAAGGTTATAAGGCTTCAAGGTTTTCAAGGTTTTAAGGTTTTGGCGCTATCTGGCGTCATGTAAAAACTTTTTTTTTTAAGGTCCTAAATTGGTTGGATTCTTGGTCTTAAGACTTTGAAACTGGCTTGATCCCAGCAAGGCAATATGCAATAGTTATTTCACAGATCCTAATTTTCACCCATGACTTTTTTTTACTGATATTCTCACGGTTGATATTTTCACGGCGAACTAATATTAAACCGTGAGAATATCAGTAAAAAAGGTCATGGGTGAACAATTAGGAGCCATGTAATAAATTTTTTTTAAGGCCCTAAATCGGTTGGATTTGATTTTGTTTGTTCAATTTAATAACAATTACTCTTTTTCTTAGGCTCAGTAATTTTATTGTTATCAATTTTCGCTATCAAAATAATTTAATAATCAATTATTTATTAATGTAAAAGTAGATTTCATTTAAATAAATAAAGATAATCTTAAGTTTCCAATATGAAAATTCAACGATTCTACTCCAGATGCCAATATATTGTATCGTTGTTTTATTAATTACTTTTATTGACACTTTTTATCGCAGGGTTTCCTGTTATTACCTTACAAGGATACCCCAAGTCTGGATAGTAAAACTTCACTGATC